GTCTATAGATTTGCCTATTCCGGGCATTTTATGTAAATAGAATCGTACAACATGTGGTCTTTTGTGCCTGGTTTCTTAAAAGAAACATAATGGTTTCAAGGCTCATTCATGTCACAGTATATTATAAAATTTGAGTTGTTCTATATTTTATGTATTATGAGTAATACCTAAAGTTCGTGTACAAGTTTTTGTGTGGATATGTTTTCAGATCTCTTAGATACACACCTAGGAATGGTGGAATTGCTGGGTCATGTGGGATCTCACTGCTTAGTCTGCAGGGGAACTGCCAGATTGCACCACTTGACATTCCTACTAGCAGGGGAGGAGAGCGCCAGTGTTTCCACGTGCTTGCACTTATTTTCTGGTAGTGGTGTTTTTTTTTTTTTTTTTTTTTTTTTGGTTATAGCCATCCTAGTGGGTGTGAAATGGTGTCTCATTGTGGTATATTTATATACATTTTTGTTTGTTTTCCTGATCTCAAGTGATCCACCTGTATTGGCCTCCCAAAGTGTTAGGATTACAGGTGTGAGTCACCGTGTCCAGCCCTAGTTACATGCTTTGCCTATTGTTAAATTTTAAATTTGATTCTGTTTTTATTAATGAGTTGTCAGAATTTGTTGTATATTCTAGATAAAAGTTCCATATATATGATTTACAAATATTTTCTCCCATTGTGTTTCAGCAAGGACTCTAGGAAAACAAACAAGTGTTTTCACCTGTTCTATAGATTGACTTTTCATTTTCTATCTTTTTTTTTTTTTTTTTTTTTTTGGAGATGGAGTCTCGCTCTGTCACCCAGGCTGGAGTACAGTGCCATGATCTTGGCTCACTGCAGCCTTCACCTCCCGGGTTCAAGCAGTTCTGCCACAGCCTCCCAAGTAGCTGGGACTACAGGCACATGTCCCACACCTGGCTGAGTTTTTCTATTTTAGTTTTGGTTTCACCATATTGCCCAGGCTAGTCTTGAACTCCTGAGCTCAGGCAATCCACCCACCTCGGCCTCCCAAAGTGCTAGGATTACACAGGCATGAGCCACCGCACCTGGCCCGACTTTTCAATTTCTTGATGGTATCTTCTGAAGCACAAAACTTAAAAAAGGAATTCCCCAACTTCATCGAGGTATAACTGACAAAATAGGCATATATTTATGATGTACAATGTGTTTTTGTTTTTTTTTTGTTTTTTTTTAGACAGAATCTTGCTCTGTCACCCAGGCTGGAGTGCAGTGGCACAATCTCAGCTCACTGCAACCTCGCCTCCTGGGTTCAAGTGATTCTGGTGCCTCAGCCTCCTGAGTAGCTAGGATTACAGGATTTACTGCCACGCCAAGCTAATTTTTTTTGTACTTTTTTCTTTTAATTTTTATTTACACAGTGTCCAGGAAATTTTTTTTGTGTGTGTTTTCAGTAGAGATGGGATTTTACCGTGTTGGCCAGGCTAGTCTTGAACTCCGGCCCTCAAGCAATAAGCCTGCCTCCCCAAGGTCTAGGACTTACAGGCGTGAGCCCTGGTGCCCAGCCACATGTTTTGATATATGTATATATTGTGAAATGATGGCCACACTCAAGCTAGTTAAGATATTCATCACCTTACATAGTTATTTTTTTTGCGTGTGTCATGAGAACATTTAAGATCTACTTTCCAACCAAATTTCAAGTATGCAATAGAGTGTTATTAACTATCAAAACCAACTTGTACATTAGATCCCCAGAACTCACTCATCCTGCCTAACAGAAACTTTGTACTCCCTAACCAGCATCTCTCTGTTTCCCCACTCCCCAGCCCTGGCAGCAACTATGCTACTCTCTGCTTCTATGAGTTTGACTTTTTAATATTCCATATATAAGTAAGATCATGCAGTATTTGTCTTTCTGTGTCTGGCTTATTTCACTTAGTGTAATGCCCTCCATGTTCATCCATGTTGTCCCAAACGGCAGGATTTTCTTTTATAAGGCTGAATAATATACCATTGTATATTCCACATTTTCTTTATTCATCCGTTGAAGGACACTTATGTTTCCATGTCTTTGCTATATGATTAATACACACACACATAGTAATGCTGTAATGGACATGGGAGTGCAGCTGTTTCCTTGGATATATGCCTAGAAGTGGACTTGGCTGGATCATAACATATTTTTAGTTTTTTGAGGACCCTCCATATTGTTCTGCATATTTGCTGTACCAATTTACATTCTCACCAATAACATACAAGGGTTCTCTTTTCTCCACATCCTCACCAACACTTGTTATCTTTTGTCTTTGTGACATTAGCCATCCTAACAGGTGTGAGGGGATATCTTACTGTGGCTTTGATAAAGTTTTTAATTTTGATGTCGTCAATTTATTTGGTTTTTCTTTTATTGTGTGTGCTTTTGATGTCCTGAGATTTTGCCTCACCCGAACTCCTGAAAATTTACTCCTATATTTTCTTCTAAGAGTTTTTTCTTTTAATTTATTTAGTTTTAGCTCTTACATTTAGGTCTGTGATTCATTTTGAGTGAATTTTTGCATATGGTTTGAGATAGGAGTCCAGCTTTATTCTTTTGCATGTCAATATCCTGCTGTTGTAGTGCCAGTTCCAGAAAAGTGTTTTTTCTACATTGAATCATGTTGTCACTCTAAAGTCAGTTGACTGTAAATATAAATGTTTATCTCTAGGTAGACGGATATATCCCTATGCCATTACCATGCTGTGTTGATTACTGTCTGTTTTGAAATCAGAAAGTGTGAATCCACCAATTTTGTTACTTCTCAAGATTATTTTGGCTATTGTGGGTCCCTTGAATTTCCGTATAATTTTTCTTTTTTCTTTTTTTGAGACAGGGTCTTGATCTGTCACCCAAGGTGGAGTGCAGTGGCATGATCACAGCTCACTATAGCCTCAACCTCCTGGGCTCAAGTGATCTTCCCATCTGAACCTCCCAAGTAGCTGAGACTACAGGTGTGCACCACCATGCCTGACTAATTTTTGTAGTTTTTTGTAGAGACTCGATTTTGCCATGTCGCCCAAGTTGGTCTTGAACTCCTGAGCTCAAGCAATTCTCCCAACTCAGCCTCCCAAATTGTTGGGATTGTAGGCATGAGCCACCAGGCCTGACCATGAATTTTAGAATCAATGTATTTCAGCAAACAGATTGATGGGTTTTTTAAAATAGACTTTATTTTTTGAGAGCATTTTTATGTTCATAGCAAAACTGAGTATAGCGCTCTCATATAGTCCCTACACCACACATACAGAGCTTCCCTCTGTTATTCATGTTCCCCACCAGAGTGCATTTGTTATAATGAGCCTACACTGACATGTCATTATCACCTAAAGACCATGGTTTACATTAGGATTCACTCTTTTTTTTTTTTTTTTTTTTTTTTTGAGACAGAGTTTCCCTCTTGTTACCCAGGCTGGAGTGCAATGGCGTGATCTTGGCTCACTGCAACCTCCGCCTCCTGGGTTCAGGCAATTTTCCTGCCTCAGCCTCCTGAGTAGCTGGGATTACAGGCACGCGCCACCATACTCAGCTAATTTTTTGTAATTTTAGTAGAGACGGGGTTTCACCATGTTGACCAGGATGGTCTCGATCTCTTGACCTCGTGATCCACCCGCCTCGGCCTCCCAAAGTGCTGGGATTACAGGCGTGGGCCACCGCGCCCGGCCCAGGATTCACTCTTGGTGTGGTACATTTAATGGGTTTGTACAAATATATAATGACATTCTTATGTCATTATAGTATCATACTAGATAATCTTTTAGAGTTTCTTTTTGTTAGCTGAATGTTCTGATTATTCTAAAATGAACATGTAGCCGGGCATAGTGGCTCATGCCTATAATCCTAGCACTTTGGGAGGCTGAGGTGGGTGAATCACCTGAGGTCAGGAGTTCAGGACCAGCCTGGCCAACATGGTGAAACCCCGTCTCTAGTAAATGTACAAAAAAATTAGCCAGGCAAGGTGGTACGTGACTATAATCCCAGCTACTTGGGAGACTTAGGCAAGAGAATTGCTTGAACCTGAGAGGCAAAGGCTGCAGTGAGCTAAGATCGTGCCACTGTACTCCAGCCTGGGTGACAGAGTGAGACTCTGTCTCAAAAAATAAATAAATAAAATGAACATGGTTTGCTAGTGGAATTTTTTGAAAATAAAAGTATTGTTTTAAACCTTGTATTGGTCATATATTTTTTCCTGGAAATACTTGAAAATGATTGGTAAAAATGCCTTATTATATTTATTCTTAGTATATTTCAGTGAAATTAGAGAAAAACATCCTTTCTTACATATGGAGAGATTTAGGACAGTGTTTGTGACTTATGTGTGTTTTGTGACCAGCAGATAAATCACAATTAAAATCTGGATCCACTAGTAGTTTTGTATAATCGAATAGTGGCCCTTAAGTTATGGTTTCAGACAAGTCAGTTAAATTAAATGTGGAGTTTTTAGAAATGCATTATCTATTGCAGATTTCAACTAAATTAACAGTGTAAAAAGAAACTTTAAAGTGACTAGCAACAAATATGCACAACTCAAGCTTCAGTCCTCAGAGCTACAGAGTCAGAATCTTGGGAAGTGGCGCCCAGCTCCTATATGGCCAAAAAGCTGTCCTGTGGTTCTGATCTTGAGTCCAGTCTTAAAGCTGCTCCATTATAATTCTTTAGGGAAGTCAGAGCTTTGCTGATGTTTGACTCCCTGAAGAGCCTAACGTTTAATCATGCCTTTTGAAGTACTTTGTTGTTTTGTTTGATTCTATTTTTTTTCCTCCTATTCATGTTTTTGTCACAAGAGCTGGAAAATGTGCTGAGGAAAATGTGACCATAGAATTTATTTAAGCACTTGAAATAAGCATTTTATTTATAGGGCAAATTTAGTTCATGCCTTAAGCATTTTAATCTGAAACTTCTATTCCAAAGTGTTCCTTTACTGGCATTATTGGCAAGGGATGTTTTGGTTGAAGGAATGTTTTATTAACTAAAATCTAGTTAAGTCGTCTTAAATTTTTTTCTTTACAGAAAAGTCTTTTAAGTTATGTGTCACCAAGGAGATGCTCCTTCTTAGTATTACAACTGCTTATACAGGTAATGGAATTACTGTTCTTGTTTTCTCTTGCTGCATAATGACAATAAAGGGGTTGAAAACAATAGCCACATTATTATTTCTCACAATTCTGTGCATTGACTGGGCTCAGTGGATGGTTCTTCTGATGGAATTACTTGGGGTCTCTTGTGGCTGCTGTTAGAGGGTGGCTGGGGCTAGAACTTCCAAGATAGTTTTCTTCATGTGCCACCCTCACTGGGGTCAGATGAAAGGCTGAGTATCTCTCTTCCTGTAGTCTCAGAGCTTCTCTTCATCTGCACAACCCCCTCCATAAGATCTCCTGTGACCCAGCAGGATAGCCACACAGCTTAGTTAATGGGCTGATGGCTCCAAAAAAGGCAACAGGAAAGACTACCAGACTTGAGTCCAGTAAAAAAGCTCAGACTTCAGTCCAGCCCAGCATCACTTCTGCTGCATTCTGTTGGTGACGGCAAATCACAGGGTCACCACAAATTCAATGTGGGAGGATTCTGCACAAGGTTTAGAAAAACCACAACACGTGGCTCATTGGGACCAGTGGTTTTAGGGCAATACAGAGCACTGCAGAAAATAACCATGAAGAGATCTGTAACTTTAATGGTTCATGCCTGTAATCCCAGCACTTTGGGAGGCTGAGGTGGGTGAATTGCTTGAGCCCAAGAGTTCAAGACCAGCCTGGGCAACATGGTGAAACCCCATCTCTACTAAAAATACATGAAATTAGCTGAGCGTGGTGGTGCATGCCTGTAGCCCCAGCCATTTGGGAGGCTAAGGTGGGAGGGTCATCTGAGCTCAGGAAGTCAAGGTTGGAATGAGCTGAGATAGCACCACTGCACTCCAGCCTAGGCAACTGGAATGAGACCTTTGTCTCAAAAAAAAGAAAGAAATCATTTCTCATGAAATAGAAGCACAACATAATGTGGTATAACGTGGAGTACCCTTAGGTCAAGAATGATGAGGAAATTTGTTTTCTTTTTAAAAATGCTGTAATTTGCTGATTAATCTTTTGCCTTTATGTACCCTACATAGGTATGACATATTTTTAGGTGAAATAGAATAAACATTAAACATCTTTAAAATTCACAGTTAAGGTTTTGTAGCATTAGGGAATCAAGGTCCCCTACTGATTTACTCTAATTTTTTAATCTTAGGAATTTTCTTTACCTAGAAAAAGGGGTTTAATTAAAACATGGTGGGGCTTTTAAGCCACATTGGATAGTATGTATTGGCTTTCCATTATAATAAGAACATAATCCAATAGGGGCCGGGCACAGTGGTTCACGCCTGTAATCCCGGGATTTTGGGAGACCAAGGTAGGCAGATAACCTGAGATCAGGAGATGGAGACCAGCCTGGCCAACATGGCAAAACCCCATCTCTACTAAAAATACAAAAATTAGCCAGGTGTGGTGGTGCACTCCTGTAATCCCAGCTACTTGGGAGGCTGAGGCAGAGAGAATTGCTTGAACCCAGGAGACGGAGGTTGCAGTGAGCCGAGATCATGCCGCTGCACTCCAGCCTGGATGACATAGCGGGACTCCCTCTCAAAAAAAAAAAGAAAGAAAGAAATGTTCCCATTTCCTTGGAAAGCTACTAACAAGCTAATGAGCATATTAGTCTTCACTCTTATAAAGTTATGTTAATTATCACCTCTGCCCATCTCTGCCTGCATGGAGAGTGACAGGTTTTAGCATAAGGATATCTGTTCATTTGTGTTGTATACTTTTATCTGAAATTTATAGCAGATGCTGTCTTGTGGTATCTTAATTTTAGCTGCTATAATAAATTTCCATAGACTGTGGCTCAAACAATTGACATGTATTTTTCATGGTTCTGGAGGCTGGGAAGTCCAAGTGCAAGATGTCGCCACGTGCAGCTTCTGGTGTGGCTATTCCTGGTTGTAGACAGCTGCCTTCTTGCAGTTTCTTCCCACGGCAGAGAGTGGACAGGAAGCAAGCTCTCTGCTGTGTCTTTTTATACGGGCACCAATCACATTGTGAGGGTTCCACCCTCATGACCTGATTGCTTCCCAAAGGTCCCATCTCCAAATACCATCATGTATTGGGGAATTTGAGTTTCAACATGTGAATTTAGGGGGACACAAACATTTAATCCATAACATGAAGCTAATTCCATTTCATCGGTTACATCACATCAGATTATGCTCTGCTTAGGGATTATTTCAGTCTCTGTGGGTTGTTTTATGTGTTTTACTACTCAAGCATTCATTCGTTTGTCAGATACTACTAGATGGGAAGATAAAAGTGAATGTATAAATTACATCTGTTTTTTCGTTTTTTTTTTTTAACTAAAGGTCTGGAGTTAACTTTCTTTTCTGGTGTATATGGAACCTGTATTGGTGCTATAAACAAATTTGGAGCAGAAGAGAAAAGCCTTATTGGACTTTCTGGCATTTTCATCGGCATTGGAGAAATTTTAGGTTGGTTTTAAAAAAAAGCATTTGCATTAAAAACACCAGTTCATTATAGTTAAAACAGAAATTTTAAGTGCACTTCACCTCTTTGTCCTTGAATTTCTGGTTTTTTTTTTTTATTGTATTTTAGATTTTGGGGTACATGTGAAGAACATGCAAGTTTGTTGTTTTTGTTTTTTGGAGACGGAGTCTCGCTCTGTTGCCCAGGCTGGAGTGCAGTGGCTTGATTTTGGCTCACTGCAACCACCACTTCCTAGATTCAAGCGATTCTCCTGCCTCAGCCTTTCAAGTAGCTGAGACTACAGGCGCGTGCCACCACGCCCAGCTAGTATTTCATATTTTCAGTAGAGACAGCGTTTCACCATGGTAGCCAGGATGGTCTCAATCTCCTGACCTCGTGATCTGCCCACCTCGGCCTCCCAAAGTGCTGGGATTATAGGCGTGAGCCACTGCACCTGGCCCAATTTGATTTTTCTGCTTACTTATACCCAAACACGTATGTTTTTATTTTTGTATTATTACTATGCTAATATAACTAAATTATAAAACATTTGCAAAATAATTCACAGATGGAAACCCTGCATAAGAAAACATGGTGTCTCTCTACTTTTCCTCTTAAAATACTTAGAATGTCTTGAAATTCTTGACTCTCTTTCTTTGGTTCCCTGACACCAACTGGGTGTCCAACAGCTCAGTCCTGTTCTAGCACTTAGCTATCCAGCATTAGTGTCAGATTTCACAAGTTTAAGGGTTCAGTCCTACAGACAGACAGTCGTGGGTCCATAGGCCTCTCAGGCACTTCTCACTGACTTGGGCAAAAATTTGGAGATTCCCTGCCGGGCGCGGTGGCTCAAGCCTGTAATCCCAGCACTTTGGGAGGCCGAGGCGGGTGGATCACGAGGTCAAGAGATTGAGACCACCCTGGTCGACATGGTGAAACCCCGTCTCTACTAAAAATACAAAACATAGCTGGGCATGGTGGCGCGTGCCTGTAATCCCAGCTACTCAGGAGGCTGAGGCAGGAGAATTGCCTGAACCCAGGAGGCGGAGGTTGCGGTGAGCCAAGATCACGCCATTGCACTCCAGCCTGGGTAACAAGAGGGAAACTCCGTCTCAAAAAAAAAAAAAAAATTTTTGGAGAGTCCCACAGCCCCTTCCCTCTTCAGGTTTGAAAATTTGCTAGAGCAACTCACAGAACTCAGGAAAGTGCTCTCCTGACTATTAGAGTTTATTATAGAGGATACAGATGAGCAGTCAAAGGGGGTACAACAGGTGGAGTCTGAAAGGGTCTCTAAGTGCAGGAGCCTCTGTCCCCATGGATTTGGGGTTCACCACTCCAGAAGCTCCCCAGACCCTGTTTAGGGGGTTTTATGGAGATCTGTTACACAGGCATGATTGATTAAATCATCGGCCACATGGCTGGGCACAGTGGCTCATTCACTTTGGGAGGGTGAGGTGGGAGGATCACTTGAGCCCAGGAGTTCGAGACCAGCCTGGACAACATAGGGAGACCCTGTCTCTAACCACAACAACAAAAAGCAATTGTTGGCCATTGGTGATTGATTTAATCTCCAGCCTCCCCTCCCTGAAGTGGGAGTGAAAGGGGCTTGGAAGTTCCAGCCCTCAAGGCTGGGATTACAGGTATGAGCCATCACACTCGGCCCACTTTTTAAAGATAGATATACAATTTATTTTCTCTTTTGAAAAATAGAGACAGGGTCGTGTTATGTTGCTGAGGCTGGTTTGGAACTCCTGGCCTCAAGCAGTTCTCCCACTCCGGCCTCCCAAAGTGCTAGGATTACAGGCATGAGAAACTGCACCCAGCCATCCTTCACTTGTTGATGTATAGGTTTGCTGGTATAGATTTCTGGGGTAGAAATCACTTAAAAAGTGTAAAGGTTGGCCAGGCACGGTGGCTTATGCCTGTAATCCTAGCACTTTGGGAGGCCAAGGCGGGTGGATCACCAGGTCAAGAGATTGAGACCATCCTGGCCAACACGGCGAAACCCCATCTCTACTAAAAATACAAAAAATAGCTGGGCGTGGTGGCACACGCCTCTAGTCCCAGCTACTCGGGAGGCTGAGGCAGGAGAATTGCTTGAACCCAGGAGGTTGAGGTTGCAGTGAGCTGAGATCGAGCCACTATACTCCAGCCAGGCAACAGAGCAAAACTCTGTCTCAAAAAAAAAAAATTGTAAAGGTCAGCCCCATGGTCTTCTTCCTTTCAGTTACAAAGTTCTTTCCTTCCTGCTGTTGAGGATTCGCCTCTCAGCTCTTGAGACATTCTGAGCTGTTCTGACTGCTGAGCCTTCCTAGGCCTCTCTAACTCCTCTTCAGAGCTCACACATAATTCTCAAAATCTATAATGACTGCCTTTCGGTGTGGTATCTTGGCTTGTTAGGCTATGATTACAACAAAAACTTGGTAGTAATGATAAGTTGTGTTTTTATTTTATTTCTGTTACAAGCTACGGTCAAAGGGGATAGCTTGGGGGATACAGTAAGTCACAGAGAAGAAATGCAAGAATGTTCCTGGATAGAAATGCAAGTAGTTTTAATCCCTTACTTTTTGTTATAATAATTGATGTTTGGTCATCATTGTCATTGTCTGCAAGTGCTGAGGTGTTGGATTTTTTGAAGAAATTTGACAATGAGAATGTTTATTCCTTGCCTCCTTGGTGATAACTCAGGACTGGGTATTTAATGTTTTGGCAAATTCGTGACGTTTCTGCCATCTTGACTGATAGGTGGAAGCCTCTTCGGCCTGCTGAGCAAGAACAATCGTTTTGGTAGAAATCCGGTTGTGCTGCTGGGCATCCTGGTGCACTTTATAGCTTTTTATCTAATATTTCTCAACATGCCTGGAGATGCCCCCATTGCTCCCGTTGAAGGAACTGACAGCAGTGCGTACATCAAATCCAGGTATGGTGGCTGTCATTTCTCTAGTCACTTGAGGATGGGTAGGAGGTCACGGATGGCTAGATATCGAAAGTGGAACAGTTAATCCTCTTCAGAGAGTGTGGCGTCTCTCTAAGGTCACCTGTCAAGTGTTAATGGAGTCAGACTGAGTTAAATAGGAATCCTTAGAGAATCCTAAGTTATTTTTGTAATAGTTGGTTTTAACCTTTTCCCCCAGTAAATCTTTTTCTTGATCCTTGAAGGAGCACATAAGATCTGATTTGAACGTTTTATCTTTGCTGCTTTTTTTTTTTTTGAGACGGAGTTTTGCAATTGTTGCCCAGGCTGGCATGCAATGGCGCAATCTCAGCTCACTGCCACCTCCACCTCCTGGGTTCAAGCGATTCGCCTGCCTCAGCCACCCAAGTAGCTGGGATTACAGGCATGTGCCACCATGCCCAGCTAATTTTTTGTATTTTTAGTAGAGACGGGGTTTCACCATGTTGGCCGGGATGGTCTCCATCTCTTGACCTTGTGATCCACCTGCCTCGGCCTCCCAAAGTGCTGGGATTACAGGCGTGAGCCACCACACCCTGCCAATCTTTGCTTCTTGAGCAGCGAAATATCCAGACTTTAGGGCCTGGAGGAAGAACAAAGGGGAGGAATGGAGAACCTGGCAGCTGGCAAGGCCGTTCAGTCCTTCCAGAGCCGTTTAGATCACGTTTCAGATTCTGGTTTAGTGCACTCAACTCTCAAGTTCATTATAAATGCAGACATTTACGTCCAGCTCCACAAATCCAAGGGTACACACTGAGTATATCTCATCTAAAAACCTGAAATCCAAAATGCTCCAAAACTGGAAACTTTTCGAGGGCCACCATGATGCTCAAAGGGAAGTGCTTCTTAGAACAGTTCAGATGACAGATTTTCAGATTAGGAACTCCTAACTGCTTAGTGTAATGCAGAGATTCCAAAATCTGAAAGGAAAATTGGAAACACTTCTAATCTCAAGCATTTTGGATAAGGGATACTCAACCTGTGTTTTCTTCACAAATGGTTAAGAGACCAGAGTTTGTTAGAGAATGTAAAGGTGTGTGCATTTGAGCACAGATTCTTACTTTGTAAATTCTAGTCTTTATTTTTTATTTTTATTTATTTATTTATTTTGAGACAGAGTCTCACTCTGTCTCCAAGGCTAGAGTGTGAGTGACACAACCTCTGCTCAATGCAACCTCTGCCTCCCGGGTTCAAGCAATTCTTGTGCCTCAGTCTCCTGAATAGCTGGGATTACAGGTGCACGCCACCACACCAGCTAATTTTTGTATTTTTAGTAGAGATGGGGTTTTGCCATGTTGGCCAGGCTGGTCTCAAACTCCTGGCCTCAAGTGATCCGCCCACCTTGACCTACCTACCATGCCTGGGATTACAGGCGTGAGCCACTGTGCCAGCTTTGTCTTACTTACTTAGTTATTACTTATTTATTTATTTATTTATTTATTTATTTATTTATTTATTTCAGGAGTCTCGCTCTGTTGCCTAGGCTGGAGTGCAGTGGCATAGTCTTGGCTCACTGCAACCTCTGCCTCCCAGGTTTAACTGATTCTCCTCCCTCAGCCTCCCAAGTAGCTGGGATTGCAGGTGCCTGCCACCACACCAGCTAATTTTTGTATTTTTAGTAGAGATGGGGTTTTGCTATGTTGACCAGGCTCGTCTCAAACTTCTGGCCTCAAGTGATCCACCCACCTCGGCCTCCCAAAGTGCTGGGATTACAGACGTGATTAGACTGGAAGAGGGGCAGCCTGGGGCTGGGAAAGGAGATCCAGAGTTCTGTATTGGCTGTGTCAGCTCTAGCAAATATTACATATACTAAATTAATTTTTATTTTCTTCAGCAAAGAAGTTGCCATTCTGTGCAGTTTTCTGTTGGGCCTTGGAGACAGCTGCTTTAATACCCAGCTGCTTAGTATCTTGGGCTTTCTGTATTCTGAAGATAGCGCCCCAGCATTTGCCATCTTCAAGTTTGTTCAGGTAACCTCTTCAGATTGTGTTTGATGTAGGGTTCTTTCCTTTGTGTATTACCTTTTTTCCTTGGTTACTTGTATTGTGATTTTACTTTTTATTTATTTATTTTTTTTATAAGAGTCTCGCTCTATCAGTCAGGCTGGAGTGCAGTGGCGTAATCTTCGCCTGCAATCTCTGCCTCCCAGGTTCCAGGGTTCAAGCAATTCTCCTGTCCTAGCCTCCCGAGTAGCTGAGATTACAGGCACACACCACCACCCCTGGCTAATTTTTGTTTTTTTGTTTGTTTGTTTTTTTAGCAGAGACAGAGTTTCACCATGTTGGCCAGGCTGGTCTCAAACTCCTGACCTCAGGTGATCCACCTGCCTTGGCCTCCCCAAGTGCTAGGATTATAGGCATGAGCCACTGCACCTGGCCTATTTTTTTTTTTTTTTCTAAGACAAAGTCTCGCTCTGTAGCCCAGGCTGGAGTGCAGTGGCACAATGCTCATTGCCACCTATGCCTCTTGGGTTCAAGTGATTCTCATGCCTCAGACTCCCGAGTAGCTGGGATTACAGGCATATGCTGCCATGTTCAGCTAAGTTTTTATATTTTTAGTAGAGATGAGGTTTTTGCCATGTTAGTCAGGCTGGTTGCGAACTACTGGCCTCAGGCAGTCCGCTCACTTCGGCCCCACAAAGTGCAGGGATTATAGACATGAGCTGCTGCGCCCGGCTATATTTTGTTTCTTATTTTATTTTATTTTATTTTATTTTTTTGTTTCTTCTTCTTTTTTTTTTTTTGTCTTGTATTGTGTTTTTTAAATGAAAGTTGGGGACACCCTTTAAAAGGATTTGTGAATAGGATTAGGAAGCAATGAGCAGTAACATTTTCTGTATAGGAGACTTTACATTCTGGTCTCTATGGCTCTGATTAGAGATTTCCTTCCTTAGATACCAAATTCTATTCAGTCGTCATACAGACAAGTATATTTCTTACTCTGTACCTTCTTTTTACTCCAGTTTCTCACAAAATGCTATTTTTGTTTCATTTCGTTTTATTTTGTAGACATGGGGGCTCGCTATGTTGGACAGGCTGGTCTTGAACTCCTGGGCTCAAGCATTTATCCCACCTTGGCCTCCCAAAGTGTTGGGGGCATGAGCCACCACACCTGGCCGAAATGTCATTTTAAATACCAAGGAGTATAGCAGGAGTTGATGGTGCATGTTTGTGAGTCAGTGACTGAGGAAGTCATACCCAGATACAGAAAGAATAGAGAGCACTGCCAGTTCCAGCTGTCCTTGGGGCCGGATATCAGTGGGGTTAGGGGCTAATTGTGGAGCCGTGCAGCCCCCACGGTGTGCCCGTTGTGATTTGTTTTGTTTGTTCTTAGTCTATTTGCGCAGCCGTGGCATTTTTCTACAGCAACTACCTTCTCCTTCACTGGCAACTCCTGGTCATGGTGATATTTGGGTTTTTTGGAACAATTTCATTCTTCACTGTGGAATGGGAAGCTGCCGCCTTTGTAGCCCGAGGCTCAGACTACCGAAGTATCTGATCGGGTGTCCATGAGGGGACACGTGTGACCTCAGAAACACAGTTGGATACAGCTTGGTAGAAGAAGTCTCCTTTGATCCTCACACTATATTGGATGATGTTCAGTATGGAAAATCAAGAAATTAAGACTGTTAAATCATCCAGAGTTGGTGTTCAAGTTTACATACATGAGTTATTTAAAATAAGTGGAATAAGGGAAAGCTGTTCTGTCAACTGTAATTGTTCAGAGATGTTGTTTTTCATTGTATCTATCTCAATGCTATAATCATGTTATAGAATGTAAATGTTTTCTTCTCCCTCCTGCTCTTGTTGAAAGATCCTGCCTTGATTCAGAATACTAGGCCATATGTCATATAAATATTTTTTCTGGATATGGAGTATGTTTTGCTATGTAATAATGGGAAGCATATGTCACTCCCATATGTGTTGGGGAATGATACTTAATTAAATAGTAAACCTGGGTGTGGTGGTGCACGCCTATACTCCCAGCTGCTGGGGAGGCTAGACAGAAGGATCACCTCAGCCCAGGAGCTTGAGTCTGCAGTGAGCTATGATCGTACCACTGCACTCCAGCCTGGGCAACAGAGTGAGACCCTGTCTTGAAAATAATGATAGGCCAGGTACAATGGCTCATGCTTGTAATCCCAGCACTTTGGGATCACTTGAGGTCAGGAGTTTGAGACCAGCCTGGCCAACATGGTGAAACCCCATCTCTCCTAAAAATAAAACAGTTTGCTGGGTGTGGAGGTGAATGCCTGTAATCCCAGCTATTCAGGAGGCTGAGGGAGGAGAGTTGCTTGAACCTGTGAGGCAGAGGTTGCATTGAGCCAAGATTGTGCCATTGCACTCTAGCCTGGGCGACAAGAGTGAAACTCCATCTCAAAAAATAAATATAAAATAATAATCATGATAATTTTTTAAAATAATGAAAAATAAGATGCTGAAATGAAATCTTTGAAAAGACAGACGTCTTCCTCTATAAATGTTTTGTTTGATAAGTTTTCTTAACTTTGTAGCTCATAGCAAGGAGTGGTCAATTATTATGAAATAAGGTAAAAATTGTCTTAAGTCTTTTTTTAAAATTTATTTTTATTTATTTATTTTTTTGAGATGGAATCTCACTCTCACCCAGGCTGGAGTGCAATGGCGTGATCTCAGCTTACTACAACCTCTGCCTCCCGGTTTCAAGCAATTCTCATGCCTCAGCTTTCCAACTAGCTAGGACTATAGGCATGTGCCTCCATGACTAACTAATTTTTGTATATTTCACCATGTTGGCCATGCTGGTCTGGAACTCCTGACCTCAGGTCATCCACCCTCCTCAGCTTCCCAAAGTGTTGGGATTGCAGGGGTGAGCCACCATGCCCAGTCCTTTAAGTCTTAAGAATAGGAATCTAACGTCTATAACAACAAAAACATTGAAAAAGACAAACACATTTACTGGGGAAGGACTTTTGCTAGCAATTTTCCTGGAAGATGCATGCGAAAACACCCAAACAAACCTGTGGTGAGATCTGAGCCACATCATCAGACCAGCATCACATCATCATTTATGTGTCTTTTTTTCTTTTTTAAAGATGGGGTTTCACCATATTGGTCAGGCTGGTCTCGAACTCCTGACCTCAGGTGATCCACCCACCTCAGCCTCCCAAAGTGCTGGGATTACAGGCGTGAGCCACCGCGCCCCGCAACCATTTATGTGTCTTTTTCCAGCAGTGCCGCTTCATCATCCTGGGTGCAGGAATGGAACATCACTATTTGGGGAGATGTTGAAGTAGAAGTGTTAGCTTTCCTCCGTAAGAGTTCACGTAAAAAATTTTTTAATTGAAATCAAATCCAGAAACCATAAAAATGTCCCATTTTAAAGTGTACATTCACAAGGTTGTATAACCATCACCATGATCTAACTCCAGGACATTTTTATCACCCCAAAAAGCAAGTCCCTGCTGGTCAGCAGTCATTCTTTCTCATCTGGCATGGCAACCACTAATTTACTTTCTCTATAGATTTGCCTATTCTGAACACTTCATGGAAATGAGAGAGCTCAGTTGTTTTTTTTTTTAATTTTTAGTAGAGACAGGGTCTCCCTATCAAGTGCTGGGATTACAGATGTGAGTCACGGCGCCCGGCTGAGAGCTCACTTTTAAATTCAATATTAAACTGTACAGTGAATCTTTTTTGGCAAAGTAAATTCAGCCAAGAATACAAATAATACTTTGTTTTACATTATTTGTTTTAAAACTTCCTAGAGTTTAAACCCCCAAACAAACCGTAGTGAGATCTGAGGCCTTATAATTGACCTGCAAATCTGAAGAATACAATAGAGGGAGATTCTCAGATATTTGATGGCAAGTGCAGGCAGTCAGAGAACCTGTATTTATAACTGGCCAGAATCCTTAGAGAAATTTCGCTGGTGTGGAGCACTAAACTCTCCTCTTCTAGGGTTTTTTTTTTTTGGAGACAGAAGTCTCACTCTGTTGCCCAGGCTGGACTGCAGTGGTACGGCCTCAACTCACTGCAACCTCTGCCTCCCAGGTTCAAGTGATTCTCCTGCCTCAGCCTCCAGAGTAGCTGGGATTACGGGTGCTGGCCACCATGCTAGGCTAATTTTTGTATTTTTAGTAGAAACAGAGTTTCACCATTTCAGAGGATATATGGACAGAAAAAGAAATAAAAGGAAACAGGGTTTCACCATGTTGGCCAGGCTGGTCTTGAACTCCTGACCTCAAGTCGTCCACCTGCCTCAGCCTCCCGAAGTACTGGGATTACAGGCGTGAGCCACTGCCCCTGTCTGTTCCAGCTTTTGAAGTTCTGGTTTTCCTTTTTGAAGTTGAGATAACCTCCATTGGCTTAGTTGATCCTATATAAATGATTTACAAATACCCTTTCAGACTTAGCAGAAATGATTTATTATCTCTTTAAGCACATTATTTGCTAAGGTGTATTAGTTTTCTAATGTGTCATAATAAATTACCCCAAAACAGCTACTTAAAATAACACACATCTATCTCATCAGAGTTTCTGTGGCTTGGGAATCTGGGCATGGCTGAGCTGAGTCCTGGGTGCAGCGTCTCTCCAGGCTGCAGTCAGGTGTGTTCCGGGCCTCGCTGGGGTAGCACCTGCTTCTTTGCTCACTCATGTAGTTGTTGCAGGAGTTGGTTCCTCACAGGCTGTTGGGCTAAGGATCTTGGTTTCTTATGGCTGTTGGCTAAAGACCGCTTTCTGCCCTTTTGTCATGCGGAGTAGTCCTCAGGGCAGCCCACAGAATGGCAGCCGTTTCCATCAAAGGACGCCAGCAACGACAGCCCAGCCGGAGAGAGCGAGAGCAATACAGAAGCCGCAGCCTCTCATAACGTCATCACTCTGCACTCTGTCTGTTAGGTGCCAGTCACTAGTTGCAGCCTCCCCTCAGGGGAGGGCGTTGGTGGGGAGCATCTTACAAGGCTGCCCACCTTGTCCAGCTTGTCATACCAAGACTTACATTGAAGGTGACAACTGGGTCCTATATTCCCAAGCCCCACATCCTCCAGGCCCTCGCTCTGTTTGCTCGTAATGGATCTGTACAACTCTGCTGGCAGCAGGAGGTGAAGCAGCCTCTGTTAATGACATCGAGAATTTTCCTGAGGTAGCCATGGCATCTTGTCACCACTAGGATTCCTGGTGATTCTTGTCAAAAGGGAAATGAAATGGAGTGAAGTGCAGTATGGCAGAAACGCAACTTTTCCCAGGCTGTCTCCCACTTGCTATGTGCTATAGTATTCGTTTTTAGTTTATACTCGCTTTTTTGTTAGAGACAGGGTCTCACTCTGTTGCCCAGGCTGGTTTGCAGTGGCATAATCATGGCTCACTGCAGCTTCGACCTCTTAGGCTCAAGCAATACTCCTGCCTCAGCCTCCCAAGTAGCTAGTAATTTTTGTAAAGACAATGTCTTATTATCTTGCCCAGGCTGGCCTTGAACTCCTGGGCTCCAGTGACCCTCCTGCCTCGGCCTCCCAAAGTGCTGGGATTACAGGGATGAGCTACTGTGCTTTTTTTTTTTTCTCCCCCATGGGAAGTTTGTTTTGCTTTTATTCAGTTCTTGTGTCTATACATAGACTTGATCTTGGTCGGCTCTTTAGATGACTGGATACCATTAAGGTCATCTCTTAAATTCTTGGCATTAGTTGAGTTAAAGACGAAATGGGTGCCAGGCTTGGTGGCTCATATCTGTAATCACAGCACTTTGGGAGGGTGAGGCAGGAGGATCACAAGGTCAAGAGTTTGAGACCAGCCTGACTAACATGGTGAAACCTCATCTTTACTAAGAATACAAAAATTAGCTAGGTGTGGTGGCGGGCAACTGTAATCCCAGCTATGCAGTAGGCTGAAGCAGGAGAATTGCTTGAGTCCGGAAGGCAGAGGTTGCTGTGAGCCAAGGTCACACCACTGCAAGCCAGCCTGGGTGACAGAGCAAGACTCCATTTTGGGGAGAAAGAAAAATAAAGATGAAATGTGACAATAAAATAGAGTTTAATTTTTATACTTGTCTTATACATGCTGTTGAAAAATGTCCTGATACTTCCAGCTAAGTAAATGCCTTAGCTGAGCCTCCCATGGGTGTGTGCTTGTGTGTGTGGATGTCCTGCTCTTTTATTGCAAGTTTCCTATTGTCTGTATTTAGATTTGGTTTAGACCTTGAGCAACGTTTATTGAAACACAGGTGTTTTTCTCTGTGAGTGTGAAAGCATTTCTCCCTCCCCTCCCGAGTTTTCCCATACCCCAACTTGAAAGCCTTCAAACCTGGGCTTTGGCTGCCCACACAGAGGATTTCTTTCCCCTAGAAGTTTTTGTTGGGTGACTGGTTGGTTGTTGACTTACAGTAAGTTCCTTGGGAGTTTTTTTTTTTTTTCCTTTTTTTTTTTCTCGAGATGGAATTTGGCGCTTGTTGCCCAGGCTGGAGTGCGGTGGTGTGGTCTCGGCTCACAGCAACCTCCACCTCCCGATTACAAGTGATTCTCCTGCCTCAGCCTCTGGAATAATCCCAGCAATTTGGGAGGCTAAGGCGGGCAGATTACAAGGTCAAGAGATCGAGACCATCCTGGCCAGTACGGTGAAACCCTGTCTCTACTAAGAATACAAAAATTAGCTGGGTGTGGTGGCAAATGCCTGTAGTCTCAGCTACTTGGGAGGCTGAGACAGGAGAATTGCTTGAACCCAGGAGGCAGAGGTTGCAATGAGCTGCGATTGTGCCACTGCACTCTAGCCTGATGACAGAGCAAGACTCCATCTCAAAAAAAAAAAAAAAGAATGGATAACAAAATTGCTCCTGATGGAATAACATTCAGCCTTAAAAGAGTTATCCTCAGGCCAGATGTAGTGGCTTACACCTATAATTCCAGCACTTTGGGAGGCTGAGGCGGCAGGATCGCTTGAGGTCAGGAGTTTGACACCAGCCTGGCTGGCCAACATGGTGAAACCCTGTCTCTACTGAAAATACAAAAATTAGTTGGGCCGGGCGCGGTGGCTCAAGCCTGTAATCCCAGCACTTTGGGAGGCCGAGGCGGGTGGATCACGAGGTCAAGAGATCGAGACCATCCTGGTCAACATGGTGAAACCCCGTCT